GTCAGGTAGATCTTTTGAGGAACTGGTTTACAAAAAGGCCAATACTAAAAAAGAGAACAAACACTACTCCTCCCTCCATTCTATTTTTTCTCACTCACCTCTTGGACAGCACTCAGTTTATTAACAATCTTCTCTAAAGCAGCAGCAAATGGTACCTAAGGAAAGCAACAAAGGTTAAGTATAGCAATACTGTACTAGTACCTCTGGGTTGGTCCGTCTTCTCTTTCCAGCTTTAGCTTTTTTCTATAAATAAACAATACATGTACATGTACATGTATGTTCAGGTGCTTTATACATGTAAGTTAGGTTTTACCTCTAAATAATCTAATTGTTCATCTCCTTGCTTCTTTCTTTTACGAACTAATTAAGATAAGAAAAAGAAAAGGAGAGAGAGAGAGGGGGAGAGTCTTTAGATTACAGTAAATCATTAAGTTCATTACTCTTTTCTTTAGGGAATTTCAGTACTAATGATCTTCTCCTAACATCTTCAGCACTGCAATAATAATAAGTGATATCTCATTATCTCTCACTTTCCCTCTTACTGTTCAAGTAAATCTTTCTTAAGTACAACTTTAGTCCCTTCCACTTTAACAAGATCATCTTGGACCAGTGGTACCTCACTGGTAGCTGCTGCTAACTCATCATCAGTAGGAGCAACCTAATATACATTAATTTAGTATACATGTACATGTATTATAACACATGTACATGTACATTGTACCTGAACAGGTTGATTCTTGTATTTTGGACAGTTTTTATTAGTTTTCATGTGACCTTTCTGACCACAAGCACTACATGTTAACTGCAGAAAAGACAGACAAAAGATAGATGAAGATCAAAATAAACGAAGATGAAGATCAAAATAAACGAAGATCAAGATACATGTAGTCATGTACATAAGGTGTTGCATACATGTAAACATTATTACACTAACATGCATGGCAGTGAATTCTTTATTCTTTTTTGGTTTCTGAGGCTTTTGTTTAGCTCTCTCTTCAGCTCTGTCCAACTGCCTAATAGCTGACTGTAACCTGTTAAGAAATAGGAAGAAAAAGGAAATAAATGAAAAATTATTATTATGTACATTGTACATGTAGCATAAATGTACATGTACATGTACCTTTTCACTTCTTTCCTCATGTCTTCACGAGTTTTCTCATCTTTCTCAGCAAACTCCATCCTACAATGACACCAATCAGGTGACAGTCACATGATATGTCACCTGATATCCTTATCCTTTGATCCACTCATTATCCTCACATAAGCATCAATGACTCCTTGATTCTTTACTACTTCGTGTCTCACGTATTCTCTCCCTCCCTCGTCTCTGAAGGTTCTTGATATTAAAAGTCTCCGTCCACTTGAGAAACTGAGTACTGATGAGGCATCATCTACATCAAGAGAAGGAGTGGCTACAGAAAAATGTGTGAGATATGAACATTATGATTAATCACTAGTCATGCTAACCTCTTTCTGAATGGTCCCCTCCTCCTCCTCCACTGTCAGTAGCTCCTTTACTAGAAGAGGGTCCAACCTATTTAAATCATACATATTTATATATTTGTGTTCTTATGATGATATACTTGTATGTGCATGCATGTACATATTATGAATCATTCAAATAATAAATTTATATTCCAATTTCATACTGTTATTATTACTAGATGAGAAAGGGAGGGCTTAACTGCAGACCAATAACACCATAGCAAAATGCCACATTCAAACCAATCATAATCAAGATACAGTACATGTACATGTAACAGCAGGGCTCCCACTCTCTCACTACAAACTCTTAATTTCTTTCTTTATTCTTTCCTTACATTTGATTCATCCAGTAATAATCTCCTCAGTTCTTGTCTCTCCATCTCCTCCTGCTCGTGTGTCAGGTCCAGTGCTGTTTTCTTTGATGAGAGAAAGGACTCAAGATTCCGTCCCAATTCATCATCACTCTCTCCCTCACTCTCACTGCTCTCATCATCAGTTGACAACACCTCATTGGAACACAGTACCCTATCAGTATAACTCAGGATAACTCAGTAAACCCAGTAGATGCATACACTAACTTGTTTTGAATGTCAAACACTCTTTGGCATTCTTCCTTGTACCTCTCTTGAGCCTCAGACTGGGAGCATCTACTGCCTCAAGCAAACATCAAACTACTAACATCAACAGCTAGAGATGGTAAAGATATACAGTAAATGACAGGAAGACAAATGAAACAAATGGGTAATGCAATGACAAACAGTTAGTTTATATACCTCCTCCAGATCTTGCTGCTTCAGTTGAAATACTCCTAACAAGATCAACCACTTTCCATCTTGATAACTTAGCAATCTGAGAAGGAAGAGTTAAATCATGTACATGTACATATACATGTATTTGAACAATAAAACTGTAAATTACTTCTTCCTCTGGTACTCCAAAGTTTCTCAGTACATTCCTTGCTTTACTTAGTTTAAGTTTCCTCAGATCAGCTTCAGTTCCCATCACAGTCTTTGGCCTCTTGCTAGGAGATACAGTGCTGGGATGACCTGCTTCCTATTAACAATGAAGAATGATGTGGAATAGTGATACATGTATACCTTAGGATTGAGTCTAGTATAAGAGAATCCTTCCCCACAGCCGGTGGGATCAGCAGGCCCACTCACTGATAGTTGATATTTTCCTTTCATTGCATTAATGAAATGATGAATTGTGTTTCATGGAGCAGCTCGTACCTAATGAGAGAAGTACATTAAAAGTAATGTATATGTACATGCACTGTATACATGTACGTGTAACATACATGTACATGAGTTACCTCATCATCAATCTTTTGATTTGTTTCTTCTCCTTCCTCTTCTTCTTCTACAGCAAACA